GGTGAGAGTTTAAATTCAGTTGTAGTTACAGGCGCCAGCAACTGTTGGGGAAAGAGATGGACATTTGCTAGCGGCCATATTCTGAAAGGTTCCAGAGAGGGAAGTTAGCATCTATGTCTTTTAAAGGCCTCAAAGTAAAGCAATTTTCTTTAAGACTGGCATCAGAGAGCGAGAAACGGTAGGTTACAAACTATTCATCTCAGTGGATTTCTACATTTGGCATCATTTGATCAGAGATATACCGATAAAAAAAAAACAACCCCAAATGAACAAACAAACAAACAGACAAACAAACCAAAAACAAACCAAAAACAACAACAACAACTACAACAAACAGACAAGCTAAAAGAAAAAACAAGAAAAAAGATATAATGACATTATGCAGAGGGACAAACACGTGTGACGTTAAAAATGTGTTTTAAAAGCACGCCTAAGGAGTCCTTAAAATCGAAATTGTTTAAAGGGTGAAGAAAATACCAATCTCTAAACTTTCATTTTAATAATTGTTTAGGATCACTGCTCTTTGTCCCCACAGAGCAACCCGTCTACTTCTAGACAGATCAAACAATGTTTTCCTGATCGATCATTCTATTCCACAACCCAGGTATCCGAGGTCATTGCCATTGTAAACACATTATCTGTCATGTTATACTGTCATATATATTTTTACACACACACACACACACACACACACACACACACACACACACACACACACAAACTCACACAGATTCACACATATACACATATCCATACAAAATTCCCACCAAGTCAGAGGGATTGCCTTTCGAAGGTAACAGCTGATAGCCATCACGAAATATGGGCAAGCGTCGCAAAAACTCATCTGAATGTGATCCTTTGTCACCAAGAAGCAAAAAGCAAAAGGAGTCAAACTTAAAGCCTCAGTTTTTTTCACAGAACCAAATACCAAGGCAAAAGATGTATTCTTTTTCATTTACAAAAAAACATTGCGTCTAGAAAATGCAGGTTGCATAAAGTGCAAACTCATCTGAAATGACTTATTTATGTTGTACCACCCTCTAACCTTCACGGGGGCTCTCGTGGCCTAGAGGTTAGGGTGTTGGCCTCTCATTCAAAGGTCCCAGGTTCGAATCCGGGTAGCGACAGAAAATTTTTCTTCTCTAAGATTGTCTCTTTTCACCTCCTTTCTTGCTGTCTAGCAATGTTCTGTCGTCTGCTTTCGTCTCCTCTTTCTGCCCTAACCCTCTTACCCCCATTGTCCCCTCCTTTGGGCTCCCGTCTCTGCAGCCTTTCTACTGCTACTCCTGTCTCTCAGGCCAATCCCTGATCTTTTGGTAGAAAAGATATACACCTAGCCTTCTCGGACAAGGGCGAAAACTCTCGGAGAGCCCGTGTGCACGTTGCGCTCGTTAAAGATCCCGATAAGAGTAGACTTCGGCCGCCACCAGGGCAAAATTCAAAATTTCCTGTCAACTGAAAAAGTTAAATGTGTCCCGCGCGCTCATATGACCTTATGGAGTTGCGAGCGCCGAAAAAGACTAGCCCCCCCG